CCTGTAAATCTGACTTGGTCCATATTGATGTCTACATTGATATTCTTACAATCCATGAGGAAACCTCAACAACCTGGTGAGTGCTCAGACACCAGACCTCACTCTTCCTGCTCCCACCCCTTCACTGGGTGGTTGAGCTCCCATTCCTACCCTTCCTGTAGAACCCTACCAGGTCCTACAACCCTTCCTCCCTTCTTGGGAGGGAGAAGTGACTCAGGCAACCCCAGGATGCTTGGCCACATACCCATGGGCCCAAATTCCCACGGTCACTCACTCACTACCATGCGCTAGTCAACCAACCTGCTTGTCCCAACAATTCCCACTACCAGTACATTCCCCTGAGTGCCAAGTAACCAATAGTCGACCACTGGGTTGCTCCCTCAAGGAGTGCCAACTACCCATGCTACCGGTACACTCATATGAGCACCAAGTCGCTGCTAGCCAACTGTTAGGTGGCTCCCTCAAGGAGCCCCCATTATACCCGCTGCCGGTACGCTCCTCAGAGTGCCAAGTTACCACTAGCAAGCCACCACACCTGCTGCCGGTATGCTCCTCGGAGCGCCAAGTTACCGTTAGTACACCCAGCCTCAGATCTCCTCCTGCTCTCCCTTCAATGGCTACACAGCCACCTCCATCCATGAGCAGAACTGCTCAGAATGGGTTCCCCAGAACCCATTCCTGTAACAATTTGTCTATTGGGTTTGGATTAGTTGAACCTGTCAACAGAAATAAAGGAGTGGGAGAAGCTCACTTTATTATAGCCAATCATGGTGGCCAGTCCCCCTGGAAATGCAAACAAACTCCTCTGGCTATTTTGAAGGTTTCTGAACAGGACACTCAAAATTTCTGTTCCCCTTGTTGGTTGTCCACCACCTACATGGATGGCAACCAAGAATAATTTGTTGAGGGCCAAAGCACCTACTTGCCATCATTCAGTTCCACTCCAAGTTGCCCCCTGGCCTGGCAATGAGCCATTCAGGTCTCTCAATGAATACAAAACACGAGTTCTGATTTGGTCAATGTGTAGGTTGTCAAACCCTAGGAAGCTGTAATGTGGGGTGCAGCCCATCTAGCCTCTTCTTTCTGAGAGAGATCAGTGAAGAAGCTTTCCACCTGAGCACTTTGGCCACAGAAAAGCCCTTATCCACTGCCCATGATGGTGCATTCATGCTGGAATAATGACCTGTACCAAGGTTGGAACAATATGAAGCTTGACATTTGGATGGGATTTACTGTGGCTATGTCTAATGGAATCCTCGAGATCTGCAAATGTGCAGCTGGGGAATGCACACATGTAACCCTTTCAGATCAGGATGCACTGGAGAGGGGCAACCTTGGACTGTGCATGGACAACCCAGTGGCCAACCCCTAAGGCTTCCAGGATGTCATTGTGGTTGGGAGGCAGCTTACTCTTACTATGACCCCCATGGATGGTTTGTCATGTTCTTCAATGTTTCACAAGGCATGGGAGAGGAAGTGATGGGGAGCTGTCAGGGCACACACCCTGACTAGCCCAGACCTGGACTTGCATCTGGACCTGCTACACTTCCTGCACACACTTCCGACACTGCACGCTCTGTGCGCCACATGATCCAGCCCCAGATCCTGCCCTCATGTGACTTCTGGGTATCCCCAGAAGTTTTTGCCATATTGGGGCCACTGTGGGAAAGTGAGAAGTTAACCTTTCTTACCCACAGTAGATTGTGCCCTGGACAGGGCTGTTTACAGGTTAGGCTGTGGGCCATAGAGAGGGGTCATGGGGACCTGGGGATTGTCCCCTGACAGGAGCAGATTGTCCACTTGATTTGCAATGGTAGTCTGGTTGACAAGCAATACAAGTTCAAGATCCAGACTGGACCTTCAACACATGGAAATACAATGACAGACACTTGATGATGCTATGGAAACTATTGCTATCATTGCCCAAAAACAACCCACCTTGGAGTAATGCATGCAATGGAATGATCAATCACTACAACAACATTGGCCAAGGGTTTTTCTCCCTTCCTGGCCTAGGACCTTTCCAATATGGAAATTTCTTCATAGGGTAGGTTCCTAATTGGGTAATTTCCCTAGATGGAAAGTACAGTCATCCATATATGGCAATTTTTTTGACAGGGGGAAGTGAAATAAATTGTGAAGAAAAAAACACCTGACAAAGGAACAAGGAATAAAGTTAACACTGAAACACTCTGTTAGCCCTCACACCATCAGGGGAGACATGCATTACCTTCAACATGGTTGGAAGCCATCTTGGAAGCAGTCAAAGCCTTCCTTAGTTCATACGAATTCCAATTCATCAGGTACAAGGTAGCACCCTGCTATTGGGCTATTAGTGACACTCCTTGGGCTAGCTCTCACCTGACAGACATGATAAGAAAGTATTATTCCACAAGTATGAACAAGTGCAGCATTTTTGGGAAAACCACAAATGGGTCCAAGCAAAAACAGTTGCTTCCTTGTTTTTCAGTGTGGCAATCAGCGCTCCACTCCAGGGAACAACTCCCTTGCATGTATACACAAAACCAGATAAAGATCATCACAACATAGCAGCAGGGATCTGTGCTGTTTATGTTTATGGTGTGTCTCAATCACCCTTCTTAGTAAATTCTAGCTTAGGGGGGGGGGGTTTCAGGGTTCTTTGCTCATGGGGAATGTGCGTGGCTTGTCAACCTAGAAGGGAGAGTTATCTTGCAGATACCCCCTGGGGCTTTTGTGCTATTCCCATCAGCTTTGATCACTCACTTTAACATCAATTGTAAAGGTGTGTGAATTAACCAGACTTAGCAAGCAAAGGCCCATGTGTGTGTGTGTGTGTTTTTTCCAGAATTTGAGCCACACTTTGTTGTCACACAGAATTATGAAGTTCCAAATGAGCTAAACACAAAACCATTAAATTGCATAGGTGGAGGTAGAGGGTCCATCGTTTTTTTCAACCCAGCAATGTTTTGGACGGAGCTAGTCACAGGCTCTCGTACTCTTAAGGAGGCTGGGAAGCAGGGTCCCAAACTACAGTGGACTTTGAAGGAGAAGTCAAGGTTATGTTTCCTGCATATACTGCTCCATAGGGGTTGGGACAGATTCTTTGGGATTTAATGGAGGTACAAGATTCAGGAAAGGGATAGGAGGTTGGGTTGGGATGATGGAATGTGTAGACAATTATGTAGAGTGACGATCTGTGAAGAATCCCCAGTGTGCATTACCATTGCAACAGACCCACAATGGGAACCTTAGCTCCCCCTATGCCAGTCACGAATTGGCCAGGGGTCTCTACATAGTCAAAGAAAGCTTCTTGCTCAGGTACATGTTGTGAGACAGCACCAGCTGACTCTTGGCACTGTACAAGGATACCTGACTTAGTGCCAATACTAAGGAATTGATGCCAAGTCCTACCCAGTTCCTATAACCACTCTTTCTTTGTTTCATTAATTATTAATCCTGTCACTCTTTTATTCACAATTATTTGTTGCTCATTAGTTCCAGCTGTGTCGCCTCATGACTCTCATTATATTCAAATATATGATGCTTAAAAGCTTGCGGTACTTTTCCTTTATGCCCTCAGTTCTCTTTGCTTATACATGCAAGACTGAGGTTCATCCTCAATTACTTTACATTGTCATTCTTTTACTCATTCTCATGTTTCCCTACCTAGTACTATTATACATTAGGCAGTTATATCAAATATAGTTCTCTTTGCTTATATGCACGAGACTGAGTACTATTATACATTAGGGTTATGAGCCCAGAGTAACTCTCTGGCTCCAAATCAAGAACTCGCCACAGCACTTAAGCCATGTCAACTTCCAACACAATTAAGCTTGAAACAAAGTCTTCAAGTATGACTATCTCAAATCTGATGGATCAAATTACATGACTTGGAAGGCAATAATTGAACTTGTCCTAACTAATCAAGGACTGCTTGGCTATGTCAATGGCTCCATCATTAGACTGACAACTTCTACCTCAGTCACAACTGATCCCCTGCCCACTACTGCTGCCAGTCCTGCTGCTGCCACCACTGCCACTGCTACTACTACATCTACCTCTACAGCTCTCACTGAAGACACTTGGGACAAGAGCAACTTGAATGCAATGCTCCAGATCCTAGTATCTGTGAATGAAGAAACACAAGTCTATATAAATGACATCAAGATAGTGGCAGGGGCTTGGTCAATCATTAAGAAACACTTTGAGGGAAAGGGACCCAAATCGGTCTTTTACCTCCTTATACAACTTTTCCACAACACAATCCTACCAGAGAAGGACATCCAGTTGCAAATTCAGGAAATAAAGGAGACTGCAGTGAAATTGCACTCACTCAGAATGACAATTAGTGATGAAATCTTAGCCATTGCCATCCTTATGTCATTACCAGATGAATGGGTGAACATTCAAGATATTCTTCTAAACAGTCCTTCCCTGACACTCCAGGATACCATTGACCACATCTTCACACATGATCTCAAACACAAGCAAATGCAAGCTGTTGCACTCATTGCTTGCGATACCAAAAAGTCTTCAAAGCTCAGATCCAAGGTGAAGGGTGTAGATAAGTTGATGTGTGCAAACTGTAAGAAGAAAGACCACACTATAGAGCAGTGTTGGGCTGAAGGGGGGGGCGCTGAAGGGAAGGGACCTCATTGGAAAGATGGAAAGTTGAAAAAGGGTAAGAAGGAAAAGGGTAAGGGTGCAAGTGAAATTAAAAGTGGAATATGTAAGTGAAAAATATATATATATATATGGGGTGTTTTCAGAGTGATATATTTAGGAGAGAGAATGGAATAGTATTTTTTTTTTAAATTTCGGAAAAGGTTTTTTTGAGGGTGCAGGTGAAATTAAAAGTGGAATAACTTTTGACATAAGGTAGGTGTGGTGAGAGATGGTAGAACATGGATGTTACCTTTCCACAGGAAGATGGACAACCCCCTTGAGGTGGTGCATGACCAACGGCCATGAAGTTTGCCAATCAGCTTTGTTGATCACTTGTAGCAGTGGCTCCCATGACTGTTGATCATCTTCCCCTGATCTGGAGCTGTCAGAATCTGGAGAGCATTCCCATGAGCTTGACAGCATGTTTCAAGGTAGGGCCACTTACTGAAGCATTGCACGTGAGCTGTCTTGCTCAACTGGGAGAGGAGAAGGGGATGGTCCAGCACAGTATCGTTGGGAGGCCTGACCAAGACAAGGAGGCCCACATTGTTTACCAAAAATTGGAAACCCTCGGGAGACATGGTGAGCACTTCAGCTTCCACCATTGTGTGGGGGAACCAGGTTGAGTCCCAAGTGATGGATGATACCAAGTGATTCAGCATGAGGATGGGTTCCTGGGAACAACTAGTTATCTCACTAGCTGGTTTTAGTCATGGGAAGAAAGGGACTCATGGAATCAGGCTTGCTAGGGAACTGGAATGTCTTCCCATTCCATTGACAAGTTATATTCTCATTGGTGGAGACACGAGAGAAGGTGAAGCTATACAGCACCTGCATCATGAATAAGAGATCATTGATTAGATTGACATTCATGATGCAATCATGCTGGACATGCACCTTTTTGGTCTAGTGGTGAGAAGGAGAAGGATGTGGGGTGGGGTTGGGAACATGCGAAGTGGAGTCAGGGATGACCAGCTCAGGCCAATCGTTGATGTTGTTGAGGTTGGGGACAGCAAACTCGGCGATGAACTTACGCCAGTCATCATCCCCCCTCTGGAGGTGGACCCCTTTGTGACAGTGGCAGCTGTGTCCTCCTCCATCAATCATCTTCAGCCATGGTCATCTTCTTTCCCTTTCTCCTCTTCAATGCCCAAGTGGCTTGGGCCTTGTACCTGTCTGAGTGGCCTACAGAGTGCTGCAAGCACATGTGCTTTCGTTTTTGGAGGTCAACTTGCATTGGGTCAACGTCCAGAGGGGGGGCTTGGGGGCTCTACATGTGGTTAAGGTAAGTCCATGCATGGTTGAGGATGGAGAGGTCCTGTACTGCTAGACCCCCTCTCTTGCATACGCTCCCACCACTTGGAGGATGATGTTCTCCATCACAACCTCCCCACGGGAAATAGAGGGGAAGGGGGCCCCCTGACAGACATGTGATGCCAGTGACATCCATGTGGGAACAGTGCCAGCCCGATTCATGGTGGTGTCCATGAGAAGGACAAGAGGAGAAACACAGACAGCCAGTGCCAATGTTATGAATGGAGAGCTGGTGCCATGTGAGCAAGAGTGAGTGGAAATAATACGATATACTTACTTTTCATCTTTTGTCCATTGAATGTGTTCATGCTGTAGGATCATTACGAAGGATCATTCCCAGCAATTCTGGGAGGGGGGGGCTTACCAGGCACTCAGATCCTAACTCGAGAATCTGATGGAGGCCTCATGCAGCATAAAGGATATTCGCTCCTAAGTGGCACTGGCCAGCAAGCGTCTTGAATGATTTGGCTTTATTTAAAAGCCGATTTGCATCGCCAGCAAGGAGTGAAGTGGGAAGAATGCTTCCATCCACTTCATGGGGCTGGTGTGTTATTTTGGCAATAAATCTGCTTTCCTGACCTGCAGGGGTGTAGTCAAGGAGGGCGAGACAGCACTGTTGCACCCAGTACTGGATGCACTTGTGTCCATGTACTCGCTGTGGACGACTGGGGATCTCCACAGGATTTGGATATGCTGGGAAGGTAGACAAGTACTGTGTCCACATTAGGGCTAGCCTTGTCTGAAGGAGCCCAAAGAAAATGCCTTGAAACATATGCCTTGCAGGAAGTATGCGAAACCAGTGTGACGATGAGAGGGATGTAGATGTTGGGGAGATCCCCCCCTGTTTTTTCTCCTCATTTTTTGTGAGGGTTTTTTGGTACTTGATCCAGTTTTCAATCCTGGGGGGATGGGGATGGTGGAATGCCCTTGGAAGTATGATATGATCTCTGCAAGCTCAGTGGGGACCCAGCTGTCATCCCAGATCAGTGATTCCATAGCAGTAGAAAGTGTCGGTAGTGATGGTTTTGGAACAAGTATCAGCAGCGATGAGCGATGAAAAAAATAAGCAACCACATCATGCAATGCTTGCCCAATTTAGTTTATTCATTCTTCGAGCTTGTTATGCTTATGGAATTGATCGACTGTTAATTCATTTGCTCATTTCCTTTGGGGCAATCCACCGAAAAAAAACCATTGAGGCATTTACATATGGATGATCATTTTCCATGCATTTTTGCAGTGCACCCAGTATCCATAACTGCTTATTCATGGGACTTCAACCAATGATCACAGTGCGTAATTGGTGTCAGTAAAATAAGCGTTACAGGGAATATAATAAATGAGATATAAGGCAAGGTTGACAAACTTAACTAACCGTGGGAAGATTCTGGGTGAGCAGCTTGCCCAGAACTTTCCCACGGTTTGATGGCACATGGATCCAGTAGTATCCCAAATACAAGATTGTAGCCATATTGACTGGGGGATGAACAAGCGTAATGATAAGTCATGGAAGAGCAACTCATCCAGGACTGGTTGGAGGCCCATACAGTCGTTGACCAATAAGGGCAAATGCACCCACAGGGCCAAAAATAAAAATATACAAGTGCTTGACACCATGAAAGACTTGCCAACTATATGGCCATGATAGGGACAAGAGAGCCAGGGGTGGGGCTCTATAGCGTACCCATTCTGCACTGCTAAGCCAACCCAACAGGGCATTTTCAATAAGGGGCCCCGAATGCATAAGGGAGAGCTTTGAGTCACAGCCTGCACCATGGCACATCGTGGCAAGGGGCCCCTGTTGACCAGGCCCTGTTGGGTCAGCTTAGCAGCACAAAGTGGGTACCAAGCCCAAAACAACACTGTAAAGTCAAAAGGATTAGAATAAAAACAAAATGGAGTACGATCAGGATGTCTAAACGATGGAAAATAAGAATGAAAGAGATTGGGCAGCATTCATACCCCAAAATTATTCAAAGCATCCCCCAAGCTATCAAGGTTGGCATTTTGGAGGTAAGCCAGGTTCAGAGTTGTGGAATCTGTTGAAGTCCTAGCTGACTTGCAGCATCATGCATCAGCAAACCCAACCAGGAGGTATGAGAGCTCATAGAGATATATTTGCCCACAGAGGACTATTAGCTCTATGAGCACCCGGAGCCCATGTTTAATTCGCAAAAATGCAAAAAAATAAAAAGCTTGACTACAGTATCATGTGACTGGCCACAGTCAAGTTCCTACCCTAGGGTCAACTGGACAACAGTCTACTTAACTTGCAACCCCTCATGTGGCACTGCACACCAAGGGCACACAACCCAATTGACATATACACTGAATTTAGGGTTATAAATAGGGTTAATCTGAATGGGGGGAAATGGGGGGGGAAAATGAGGGGAACATTGAGGGGGGGAATGGGGGGGAATTAGGGGGGATGAGGGAGAAAATGAGGGGGAATTGGGAGGGGGAATGAGGGAAATTAAAGGGGGGAAATGGGGGGAAAATGAGGGGGGAAATGGGGAAATTTGAAGGGGGGGATGAGGGGGGGAATGAGGGGGAAAATAGGGGAAAATGGAGGGGGGAATGGGGTGACATTTGGAGGGGGCAATGAGGGGGAAATGAGGGGAAAATTGAAGGGGGGGATGGGGGGAGAATTGCAGAGGGAATTGGGGGGGGGGGAAATTGAGGGGGGGTTGAAGGGGGAAATGGGAGGAAAATGAGGGGGAACTGGGGGGTTTCTAAAAACTTGAAAAAAAGTCAGGGAAAATTAAGGAAAATTCAGAAAATTCAGGGAGAAATGGGGGACTTTCAAAAAAATTGAGAAAAGGAAAATTTCTAAGAAATCAGGGAAAATTAGGGAAAATTCAGAAATTTTGGGAAATGTTAGGGAGAGAAATTTCAGGACATTTAGAAATAATTTAAAAAAATTGAAATCACCTTTCTATCATAAAATTTTTGCTATCTGAAAATTTCAAGGCAAACTCCAAAATCCAAAAATTTACACTATATATTTCATCTCCTTTCTCACCCAAAACTCACCCAATTTTGACAATTCAAAAGGCTTGGTATGGATGTATGGATGATATCTGAAGGATACATCAGCTTTCTGTTTGCTTTATTGGGCTGTATTTTAAATTTACTCTTTTTGGGACACTTTTCAAAACTGATTTATACCCTACATAACATGCATGGTTACATTGCCACACTTAAGTGCTTTCCAATGCACAGATAGAATCATCAAAATTGGATGAGTTTTGAGCAATGGAGTTTTCCTCAAATTTTACAAATAGCAATAAACAAAGTGCTGTATCTCAGCATATTCCATGGATACATCAGTAAACACAAAAGGTCTATGAGGTCTATGAGCCTGCTGAGATCATAGAGCTCATAGAGCCTTTGGAGCCTTTGGAGCCTTTGGAGTGATGAGGATGGCTATTTTCCACACATTTACAGAAACATATATCCATATTACCATTGCACTACTGGTGCCAAGATAACTCAGCAGATTCCATGGAGACATGAAGACCATTCATTAGTAAAAAAAAAACACAAAGCTCTATGAGCTCTATGAGCCCACTGAGCTCATAGAGCTTTTCGAGTGATGATGATGGCTATTTTACATGCATTTCCAAAAATGGTTATCCATATTATCTTTGCACTTCTGCATCCTTATGAGAACAAAATCAGATATATATTTCATTTTCTTGACTCTATGTGTAGAGGGTGCACAGCAAAAGACTCAATTTGCTCACAGAGCTCTGAGAGGTCTGAGAGGTCTGAGAGGTCTACACCAGGTTTGCTGATGTGGAGTCAAGATATGTGTAGGGAGGTGAAAGGGGGAATGAAAGGTGAGCGCTGGAAGGGCCTGGACAGTGCTGACTGGACATTCCGGAATGGGTACTTGGTTGGCAAGGGGGGGGAGTTTTGTTCTTGAGGTATTGGAGCTCATAATTGGAGAGACTGTGAGATGGAAATGTAATGATGAGGTTGGTTGATCGCCACGCTGTCCTTGCAACAAAGAAAAGCACAGACATTTCCACAATGCAGATGACCTAGCCAGTTAAAAAAGGAAAACATGACAACAAGATGATGAGCTTGAGCACTAACAGCAATGCAATGAAGTCGATTACTACACTGTCCTTACAAGCAAGGAAAGCACAAAAAGTGCAGTCATTTCAAACACATCTATCCAACCCCTGAGATGCAGATGATAAAGGTAAAATGTTATAGGAATGGACCTAGAATCTTATGGTCCATGACTATGAACAATCAAACCTTTGGTCCCTGCACCTTTATTTCATTGTCAAACCCCATGCCAAGCTTTCCCACTGGGTTTTGGTGCTGGCTGGGGAATTTGTTGAGTTTCAAGGGACTTCCCTTGACCATTGTTGTCAGAGACCAGGTTGAGACAAGGGAAAGTCTCCATGGCAGAGGGCTTCGGCCTCAGCGACTTATGCCAGGAGCGCTGTGCCAAGTAACACGTCCGTGCCCTAACTTACTAACTGGCAACCAGAACTGAAGGGGGGTAAACTCTAGTCAATTTTATTACTGAAGTGTAACCTATGTACAAGTTGGGTATATATAGTTACAGCGAAGATGGGTCCACAAATGGTGGAGCCAAGCGGAGTGGAGCTAACGGGGTTAAACATTAGCCGACTGAATATTACCGACAAGTTGGGTTACGGGGTTAACGGAAAGGCAGGTGATAACCCAGAAACAGAAAGGAGGGATAGGCCCAAAGGTGGGCTCTGCAGGGCAGGCGAGTGTATTGCCCAGCAGAGGCAGGAGTGCGCTAGTGGACATCGGAGCTGTCCGGAAGTCTTCAGGGCTCCATACTTAGGGAGGCATAGGCAATAAATTGAAAGGAGGGGGTGGTGACCATCGAGGGGTACCGAGGGGATTGCGGAATATGGGAGCTCTGAGGTTAGTGGAGAAGGAGCAGAGGTAGACTGGAGGGATCGGAGGTACCGGAAGTTGTTGGACAGGGATGGATATGACAATTGTGACTTTTATATTAGATAGTTAGAAGTCATATAATGTGTAAGGCAGATGCCAAAAAATGTCTTTCCTTATCAAAATACATAACCCCAAAACCTTGTACCACATTGTAACTGCCACCATTTTCCTACCCTTCCTGCAGTACCCTACTGGGTCCTACAACCCTTCCTCCCTTCTTGGGAGGGAGGAGTGACTCAGGCAGCCCCAGGATGCCTGGCCACGTACCTGCAGGCTCAAATTCCCACAGTCACTCACTACCGTGCACTGGTCAATCAACCTACCTGTCCCAACAAATCCTGCTACTGGTACGCTCCCCTGAGTGCCAACTACCCATGCTACCAGTACACTCATATGAGCGCCAAGTCACTGCTAGCCAACTGTTAGGTGGCTCCCTCAAGGAGCCCCCACTATACCTGCTGCCGGTACACTGCCAAGTTACCGTTAGCAGACCACCACACCCACTGCTGGTACGCTCCTCAGAGCACCAAGTTACCATTAGTACACCTGGCCTCGGAACTCCTCCTGCTCTCCCCTCAACAGCTATGCAGCCACCTTCGCCTGTGAGCAGAATGGCTCAGGTTGGGTGGAACCCATTCCTGTAACATAAAAGCAAGAAAAGCTCCCAACACCAAGGATGAAGCAGGAAAGAGTAAATAAAAGGCACACACCTGAATAGAGATACAATAATGGCAAATGGGATAAAATTGGCTACTGCACTATACTTGCAGTCAAGATGTTCCAACCAACAAGGTACAGACGCTCCAATCACATGTTTTCCAACCTTTTAAGGTGCAGAGAATAAGAGTGAAAGCAATGAGGTATGGTACAATAATGACAAATAGGGGAAAATGGTCGCTGCATTGTACTTGTAATCAAGAAGAACACAGACATTCCAATCGCATGTTTCCAACCTTTGAGGTGTAGAATGAGAGTGAAGGTGATGAGGTATGGTATGATAATGGCAAACAGAGGAAATTGGCCACTGCGTTGTACTTGTAATCAAGAAGAACACAGACGCTCCAATCACATGTTTCCAACCTTTAAGGTATAGAATGAGAGTGAAGGTGACAAGGTACGGTACAATAATGGCAAACAGGGGAAATTGGTCACTGCATTGTACTTGTAATCAAGAAGAACACAGACATTCCAACTGCACGTTTCCAACCTTTGAGGTGTAGAATGAGAGTGAAGGCAACGAGGTACGGTACAATAATGGCAAATGGGGGAAATTGGTTGCTGCATTGTACTTGTAATCAAGAAGAACACAGACACTCCAATTGCACCTTTCCAACCTTTAAGGTGTAGAATGAGAGTGAAGGCGATGAGGTAAGCTTCGATAATGGCAAACAGGGGAAATTGGTTGCTGTGTTGTACTTGTAATCAAGAAAAACACAGACACTCCAATCACATGTTTCCAGCCTTTAAGGTGCAGAGGATAAGAGTGAACGCGATGAGGTACGCTATGATAAAGGCAAACAAGGGAAATTGGTCGCTGTGTTGTACTACTTGTAATCAAGAAAAACACAGACACTCCAATCGCACGTCTCCAACCTTTAAGGTAGAAAAAATAATGAGGTGCAGGTGCTATGCAGGGGCAGACGTGATGGGATTGGTTGCTGTACTGTCCTTGGGTCTCCAACAAGAAGAGTACAAACATTCCAATTGCACATCTCACAGAGATATGAGCATCGGCCAGCTGCAAGTATGTGGGCAAAGAGGAAACCGGATATACCTGCAACAATTGTACAGTTTATTATTATCGGATTCACCTGCAACAATGGCATTACCTAAGTAGTTCAAGTATAGTTGTTTATTGATAAAATTAGAAGAAAAATTAGTCCATGATGCAAATGGTACAAAAGGATCACATCAGATAAGATGTGTCCATGGTTTGGCAACATGTTTCATGTAGCGAGGCTGATCAAGATCCGGTTCAAGCACAATTTGCCAGTTGCTACCCTAAGGGTGGTATTGAAGCATCTCAGCACTCAAGTGGGTGATAGATGGTGTTTCGCCATTCCTCATCATCTCAGCATAAGCCCAACGTGCAACACAGCAAATCATGAAATCCATAGGGCCTGATGTTGGCCACATAGGCACTGAGACTTTTGACAAGTCCTGAGGCTGGAGAGAATGGGCACTAACAAGAACCTTGAAATGATGGAGTTCAAGTCAAAAGGTTCTTGATGTACCCTAGACTGCAGCCAAGTGGCTGTAAACATGATGCCCTCCATAGGATGAGTGCGATCCCTTTGATTGGGGGAGGGTGCTGTTGTGGGGAGCAGGGAATGAGATTTCTTGTACTGGAGGAACGAGTGAAGGTGATTGATTTTGTTGGCCTTTGGAGGTGCAATGTCCATGAGAGCCATGATATCAATGTGATCATGCGTAAATGCCACATCTACATATGGCAAATCTAACATGAAGTGGTGATTGTTGAGCGAGCTGACATAGATGTTGGAGGAACAGGATTTCTGTAAGGGGTTGGTGTAGGTGCCAACCCTGGTTAGCCTAGTTCCTCAGGCTGCCAACAAAAGTAACTTGTACGAAGTTATTATTTGCAACAGTATGGGAGGAAAGGCTAAGTTGCTCTTTCCACTTTCCCACACTATTGTATGTACTTTGTATATACATGTTTATTACAAGACATACAATTATGTAATGGGAAATAAGGGGTGGGGTTGCCACTCCTTACAATTTCCCCTCTGAATGCAACTTCTCAGCCATTTTATCATGATTATCCATGCACTTGAAGAGCATCTCCATAGATGGTGGCTCATGCTGCCCACCCTTCCTTGAACGATGCATTGCATAAACTCCTTGGGCATGGCACTTTTTCAACCAAGCTGGCTCTGCATCCTGTACATCAACTATGGTGAGGCAATACCAGTGGCCAAGAGGAACCAGGGCCGACAACATGGATTGTGAGGGGGCAGCCATGCCACTACGGTCACTCAGTGGCATGGCATGATGCCCAGGAGCAGTCATAGGAAGACACTCCAGCTCTATCACCATGGTGTCGACATATTGAATGAAGCCGCTGCCTGATGCCTCCTGACGATTTAGGCTCAAGGACAGCAACGAGGCTACAGCAGGGGTAGGACCGTGGCCCATTAGCAATGCAGCGGTTTGTTGAGTGGGTGATGCAAGGATTGGCAAAGGTGGGGTGTCGGGGTGTCAGGGACTGCCTCCACTCAGCAGCACCGATGCCTCCAGCCTTTCATCGTTTGGCCTTGAGAATGGTAGAGGAACGACAGGTGCATTGCAGTCTGGCAATGCAACATTTCCTGTCTTGCAAAGTGATGAAGAGGTATCAGGTGAAGAATGACCCAAGGGTGGGGAGTGAGTTGTAGGTGCAAGAGAGGATTTCTGTGCCTCATGGCACTTCTTGTACTCCTGGAACGAGATTTTTGGTCTCTCAGCACTCGTTACTGTGGAAGATGGGGGAGAATTAACATGGGACATGCCCCCTACCCCTGGAGTCTTGATACCCACAGCACCAAGAGAAGAACAATCAGGGAGAGGAGACGTAAGGAGGGAATGGGATGGAGTTGTGAGGGGGACTGTTGGTGCCGAAGATGGGGGAGGATTAACATGGCTTGTGGCCCTTAAGGAACGTGAAGTCTTGATACTCATGGCACCAGGAGAGGAACGATCAGGGAGAGGAAATGACCTGGACACAAGGGGGGAACGGGATGGAGGAGTTGTGATGGGCACAGCAGCAGCAGGCACATGATGGCTTGAAGCAATGGGATCAGTTGTACAGTATCGATGTCCATCACATCAGGATCACTCTGCAATCTTAGCCTTTTTTGAGGGCATCTGGCAGATTGCCGATCAGGCCTGTACTTGTGCCAATTACTGACGATGTGGTATTCATGGGCAGACAGTTGCCTCTTCTTTTTCCCATGTCCCCATTCCCAGATCTCTTGACATCTAGTGGCATGTGAGTCGCCATCCTGCACATCTTGCAAGAGTGTCATGACCCGGAAATTCCCACGGTCAGGTGACCACTGCCCACACCTTCTCCCTCCTCCGCTTCGACCCCATCAACTCCACTGCCTGCCCAATGCTGCCTGGACAAGCCTGTCATCCCTCCCCATCACAAGCCTATGAGTCATTCCTTATTACTCATGTTTTCTTGATGGCCATGCACAGCCATCCGTCTCCCATGCTCTTTGTTTGTTTTTGTTCCTTCTTAAAGCCACCTGCAATCTCCATGAGATCTGGCAACTTATTCCTATTCATTCCGTTATACTTAAATACCGGTTGTACACTACCTTGTACTTTAGTTTGAAAATCAACTAGGGTTACCCCCCATGCTTTCTGTCTGAACTCAGTCGCATCCCCTGTACTCTGAAATATCGGGGCTGCATCAGTATGAGGCGCAATGCTCACAAATGAGTTGTTGAAGCCAAAACCCTGCTTCGCCATGATTGTCACCCCCACCCTTAATGGGCTGTTATGCTGAAGCAGTGGACCTTAATGGTTGCCAACAGCAAGTCACAGTAACGTTTCCCACACCCTGACAAAGAGCTGACCAGTGGCACGCACACTCTGTTGGTCACTGGAAAATTTTCAAGCTGCCGATTCAACCCTTTCACCATACTCGGATGAGTCCTCATCATTTTCTTGATGGGGAGGCTCAGAGTGAGGATGGAATTCATCATCACTAGAGCTCCCAGCTCCATCATGCCAGGTGGTAGACACTACTCTATGGCCAAGTACCAAAGATGATGGACAGGGTGAAAGACAGGCTGGAGGCACAACAGGAAAGAGGCCATGGCCAAAAAAAGACTTGATTTTCCAACACAGTTCCTCCTCTGTGTAGAGCGGGTTGTGTGGAGGATAGAGTGTGTCTGCGAGGGCCAATTCCACTGGAGTTGAGAGGTCAGGCGAACCTGGATAGCCATGGGCTGGCTTGATGATCCAGGGTGTTGGGTGAATGGGTATGAACTTGAGCTGCTTAAAAACAATGTCCCTTGACTGCTTAGTGGAAGCAATGCGGACTGAACTGCCATCTTATGACTGTTAACATCCGAATTCGACCAGCCACCTGGCACAAAATCTTGCTGAAGACTGGCCCCACTCCCAACAACTTGAACCCCACAGACAGGAATGCCGTGACAGGATAGCCTTGCCATTGTTGAACCCAGCAATGGGCAGTCATCCAGGAAAGGGAGCTCAAACACAGCACCCACCAGCTCATCATCCATGCCCAAAAAATTACCATCATGACCACAAAGAAGCTGCTCGATGTGACAATGACAGTACCATCGACCAACACCACCCAATTCGTAAGCGAATGTAAATACTTGATGTACATTGTTGATCAGATCCTCAAGATTTCTCCCCCAACATCTTAGCTTGTCCTTCCATTCAAAAGAAGCTTCAGTTAACCCATCTCATGTTCGAGGCATCGGCACACATTGTTTGACTAGAAGAAAATCGCCCTGGATTGCATCTGTCAGGGCACACACCCTGACCTAGCCCACACCCACACTCGCACTGGCACTTGCACCTGCATCCGCATGCACACCCAGCCATTGCACCCCCTGCATGTGCCCGGTGCCAGACGCTCTGTGTGGCCGGATGCCCCAGGCCCCGGGTCTCAGGCCTCATGTGACTTCTGGATATCTCAGAAGTTTTCATTATATTGGGCCACTGTGGGAAGGTGAGAAGTTAGCTTCCTTCTCACCTTCTTACCCACAGCAGTGTGCCCTGGACAGGGCTGTGTCCCTTTAGGTTGTGGGCCATGGGGGGGGGGGGGGGGGGGGGGTCACAGGGACCTGTGAGATGTCCCCTGACAGCATCCAACTGTGAGAAGAGGTCAAATTGAGACTGCATGAACGTCTCAACATGGTGGATTGTCAGGGCACACCCACCTGACCCAGCCCCACCTGACCTGGTGCCCCACCATCCGCTCCTCCTGACCTCCCCCTCTTCCCCTTTTACTCTTCTCTTTCTTCTCTCCTCTCTCTTCTCTTCTCTTTCCTCTTTATTCTTTTCTTATCACACGGACGACTTCCTTTGTATCAATGTACCATTGACTTGGCTGCAGTGTAACGTGCCTGGACCCCCATTTCAGCAACTGGTGTACAGGGAAAACACCTATTCTTTGCCTGAATGAGGCAGGAGACTATGGGTTCGACCATCCCCATGTTGCTTTCATGATCTTTGTTGGGAGATATCTTTCCATGAACGATTTCTACCAAAGTTCAGGGAGAGTGGCCCATGGTGATGGTGTTGGGATGAGTCTTACACTGCTCCCTAGCCCCCCCCCCCCTCCCCCCCGCATATTCTGGAGACTTTTCAAGGATCAGTGGCCATGGCATTGATGTCTTATCATCATGTTGATAAATGTCATAGGTCGTTCCCCTCTGCTCATCTAGACAGCATTCATTGCCAGATGGACTGCATGACTTTGTGCAGTTCCCACCCAGAAATGGTCCTCTGTTCTTTCTGCTATGGACAGCAGCACCACCAGCTGTCTGGATATGACTTTGACATTCCATGGGGCAAACCATTTGTGCCACATGACACCTCCCTCACTCAGACTTCTTCCTCTCACTCCCAAGGCAATGACTATGATGTCTCTTCCCTCGTACCTCAGTTGAATCTTCTATTCTCTTCTCTTGAAGCAGGCAATTCACTCGTTGTTCCACATGGGTCCACTCCCCCCCCCCCCCCTGCACTTACTTCCCTTCCACCTCAACATGCCAACAATGCATTTCAAGTCAATTTGGCCTTGCAACAGGCATTGGCCAAGTCCACTGCTATGGTGCCTATGCAAGTGCATACTATCCTCCAGGAGCTGCAAGGAAAATGTCTTGTCTGCTGGCATCATGGCTGTTCTGCTGCTCACCCAACAAACCAGTGCAAAGGTATGGATTGGTGGAGTGGATGGAGAAGAGAGGGATCTGTAGGTGGGGATTTTGCCTGGAAACATGCACGGTTCATCAACTCCACTGCTGGCGATACCAGAGGCAATTGTTGGAAGTGTCTGCTGAACCCAGATTGGTGGCCCATTCATCGGAACAGCAGCACACATGGATGTCTGTTTCCCAACATCATCTAGATGATCTGGATCATTGCACATTCTGATGAGCTTCGAAGTGCACTTGCCACTCACACCAGTGATCCAACGATCTTGACAATGGATGGATTTGTTGAATGGTGTTGATGAAGGTTCAACAGTGATAAAAAGTGGAGGAATTTTTCTACCCAGCTCATACTGTTCTTTCACCATGGGTGTCAGATTCATGTTGGTTAGAATTACAAGTATTTCATATCTCTCCCTCGCATCTGCTGTATGCCTGTGATTCTGTCCAACCTCACAGATGCCATACATGCTTATGCACATTCTTATGATCTCACCTCTAGCTTTCATCCTCTTTGTTGCTTTGCTCGTACTTGTGTTCCACTGAATGCTTCAGCCTCCATGCCCTCTTCATGCCTGCTGTTGCACATCGGTCTGTGTACTTTTCTGGCATCGGCTGCACTGCCTTACTGTAGTCATTTTGTACTTGAAACAGGTCCCTTCATTGGAACAGTAATATAAAAGCAAGTGAATGTGTTCACTTGAAACCTTAATATGGAAGGTAATATAAAAGCAAGTGAACGTGTCCACTTGAAACCTTAATATGGAAAGTAATATGAAAGCAAGTGGATGCATCCACTTGAAAACCCTAATATGGAAAGCAATATAAAAATGCAATGTTTTGCTTTACGTTCCATGATACCCTGATGCTACACATCACCCATCCATTCCCATCCTGATGATCTGTACAACATAAGCCACCATTGGATCATTATGTAGGGTGAGTTGCAATGTTGAAAAATGACACATTCACTTGGAAACTCCCATAATGTCCAGAGCCTAAGGAACAAACTTGATATAAAGGATCAGTCCACACTTGAAAGGAAAGCAATGCAAAGTACCAGGGCACACCCGCCTCACCCGCCTCCACCTGGCTCCACTCCACCTGCTACCCCCTTCTCCCCCTTCCTATCTCCTCCTCCCTCCCCTTCCCCCTCTTCCTTCTTCTCTGTCTCATTCTCTATTCTTTCTATTTCTATTTACACAGATGACTTTCCTTGATCAATGTACTACTAACCCACCCGCGACCCTTGCATGACACACCCAGCCCCGGATGCTCCAGATGACCCCCGGGTACACCCAGCACGCACGCCTGCAGCGGATCCCTTTGGGATCCCCCATGGGGATACCTGGGTGGCTGGGGCTGTGCATGGGGACGACGTGGCAACTCTCATGTGACCTGAGCACCATGTATATAAACATACCTGGGGTGGGAACCAGAGAAGCAGTCTTCTTCTCACCATTCCCACTTCAGGTAAGTAACTTAGTTTTCCTTCTAATGATAATAATCACCATTCCCACTTCAGGGACATCTGCCTGTGCCGGACCCATTGCCGTATGTGCCCACTTCTTACCCCACTGGGCCCTCAGCGCTGGACGATATACCCAGACGCTCTCAACCCCAGACCGGTCCCTGACACAGAAGCTGATGAGGGCTTAGATCTGCACCGACAACCAAGACCAACTGTTATGGAAATGGACTAGAATCTTATGGTCCATGGCTGCAAGCAAGGGACCCAGGGTCACTTCCATTTCCTCCTCCTTTATTTCATTGCCAAACCCCATGCCAAGCTTTTCCACTGGGTTTGTTGGAAGTCAAGCTTGAATTGTGTATTTACGGTTATTTACATCAGGTTAATAGACTTAGCATCTACTTTCATCACCTACCCTTGCTGGCGTAACCTTGTTTTTCAACAGGTTATGAGCCCAGCCAGCTCATTGAAGTATCACTGAAAGTCCACTTGACCCTTGCAGCACCTTAGCCAATTTCTAATTGGCTATCCGGAAGTCCTCTGGCTGAGGTACCTCTCGCATTCATGAAGTAGGCAACCCCATTAGAGTCCTCAGATGAGGCACACCCCCTATGAGAGCTCGCAGATGAGGCACACATACAATTGGGAGTCTTTGGATGAGGTACATACCCAGAAAGCCTTTGGATGAGGGATGCAACGTTCTTAGGGTCCTTGGATAAGGAACCCGTCCCCCAAGTCCTCAGTGGAGGCACTTTCACTGTCACCATCACCATCACCATCACCATCGCTATCACTGTTGCCATTGATCTTACAATTTTTTCTGATAGTATCGGATCTTCCCTGGATCAGAGGGTGATATCTGCTTGCTCACTCGACGATAATAACTACCCCAGTTGGGCCATGTACATGGAGGCCCACTTGACCAAGCAAGATTTGTGGGATATTGTATCCAGACACAGTCAGAAGCCAACTGGTAGTCCAAATTCGAAGACTGTTCTGGCTTGGGAGAAGAAGCACCACTTAGCTGTGGCAGAAATCCTTCTAAATGTGTCCACCAAATATATGGTGCACTGTGATAATGTGGACATGCCAGGGACATGGAACAAACTCAAGTTAATGTTCCAGTCTGAAGGCCATAGCACTATCTCTTCTCTCCATCGTCAATTTGATTCTATGATATATGAACCCGATTTGACAATGCACCAATGGATCACAAAGGTCGAAGATTTGGCCCAACGTTTAGCAACAATTGGTTCACCCATGATCCCTGTCAATGTCATCAATACCCTGACCCGTCAACTCCCTGAGGCTTATGCCCCACTCATTGTTCTATGACACTGAACTTCAAGGCTCTAGTCCAACATCAAATTCCGATCCCATTCAATATGTCATCATGTGACTCCTGAATGAGGAAACCCGACAGACAGAATATCAGATGCGGGATGGGCCAGCTGCATTTGTTGCTCACACAAAGGAACCGTGGAAGGGTGCTGCAAACTGCTTCAACTGTGGCAAGCCAGGTCATCTCAAGATGGATTGTAACCTGAGCCCCTGTGAAGTTCGTCTCCAATGTGAGTGCAAGTTAGAACAGGCCAATTGGGCAGCTGGAGAGGAATTGGCTGGTAATTCAGAACCCAAGTCAGAGTTCAAAGGTTGAAATGCTCGGGCCAGGTCAGGCAGGTGTGCCCTGACACCATTCCTACCCTTCCTGTAGTACCCTACTGGGTCCTACAACCCTTCCTCCCTTCTTGGGAGGGAGAAGTGAATCAGGCAGCCCCAGGGTGCTTGGCCATGTACCTGTGGGCCCAAATTCCCATGGTCACTCATTACTGTGTGCTGGTCAACCAACCTGCTTGTCCCAACAATTCCCACTACTGGTACACTCCCCTGAGTGCCAAGTAACTGATAGTCGACCACTGGGCTGCTCCCTCAAGGAGTGCCAACTACCCACACTACTGGTATGCTCACATGAATGCCAAGTCACTGCTAGCTGACTGTTAGGTGGCTCCCTCAAGGGGTCCCCATTATATCCACTGCCGGTATGCTCCTTGGAGTGCCAAGTTACCGTTAGCAGGTCACTACACTCGCTGCCAGTATGCTCCTCGGAGCACCAAGTTACTGTTAGTACACCCAGCCTTGGATCTTCTCCTGCTCTTCCCTCAACAGCTCTGCAGCCACCTCCACCTGTGAGCAGAATGGCTCAGGTTGGGTTCCCCGGAACCCATTCCTGTAACACCAACAGCTTGGGCTGGGTTTATAGTTGAGAGGGCCATGGTGATGTGGCGTTCCAGGGATGCTGCTGAGGGTTGGCTGCCCAGGAAAGCTTTTTTACACTCGACCAAAATCCCTTCTCTACACATCCCCCCCAGGCTATCGACCTCCTTTTGCTACCCCTGCACTCTCTGCTCTATGAACACAAAGTCAGATCCATGGATGAGGTTCACCAAACTGAGGGATACCATGTACAGAGGACCTGCATTGGTAAGTAGTATTTTGGGAATTACCAATGTTAAGGTTAAAATCTTCACCAGGTTCCATTGCACCAGATGATCCCATTGGAAAGGAATAGGCCAGTGGATGAGGATTTTGTGAAGCAGCATTTCCTCCAATGGGGCAATAGGATCAATCATGCTGCAAATGAGATGTCTGGTTTGTTGCCAGATGACCAGCCTATTGATGTAGAGGATTTTCCAAGGGATGTCCCAGTTCAAATAGCACATGGGCAGCATAGGAAAAGGAGGTACTCTCCAAAAGTGTAATCCTGCATCATGAAATCATGAGGAGTCATGACATGTTATGACAATTGAATTGAATCAGACATTTTTTACATTGAAAATTTTGGATTTCATGACAGTTCATGACAAATTGTCATGAACTGTCACCAAATTTCATGAACCGTCATGAACCATCATGTGCTGACAAGGTTCATGACTGCTGGTGACACAATATGACATGATGCCTCATGGAGGTTCATGAGTGGTCATGATGTTCATGAACCCTCATGACCTTTCATGACAGGTCATGAAGGTTCATGGAGTGTCATGGAGTGTCATATGTTTATTTTGACCTTTCCCCATCATGTAAATGCTATAATGTCCCATGATGCATCATGGACATTCATAATGCTCCATGAACATGTATAATGAGTCAATGCATGAGATGTTACAAGCACTTATGAACTGTCATGTGACAGACCTTATTTGTGACAGCACTGACTGATCAACCTCCAACTCATGGACTTGTGTTGGCACTGCACTGAACTCCACTTTTCCTCCAGCCACCTTTGCTGCTTGGTGTCAGAAACAGTGCTTGAGGGTATTCATGGGAAGTGGAGCAGAGTATGGCAGTGTGAGTGATCACTTAGCTGATAGGTTACTCCATTGCAAGGCATCAGGGGGTTGGGATGTTGGTTTCAACAACTCAGTGGGAGTGTTGTGCCACATGCTCTAGGCTATCCTGTATTCAGGTGTAGTGGAGGGAACCTGGTGGTGATGTAGGCTCAAGTAAAGACAAAGTCAGAGGTGAACTATTGTCAGGGCATACCCTGCCTGACCCCACGCTGCACTGTGCTGCCCTACTCCACTTCCCCTGCCATCGCTTCTTGCTCCTCCTATCTCACCTTCCCCCTCACCTTTCCTTTTTCCTCTTTCTCTATGTACCACCGGTGCACCCACATACCTGGGAATGCTGCACACCCCTCCTGTACCACTACACCCTAATGCAACTGCCCCTATCACTGCACCCACTGCACACATTCCCACCCACACAGTGGCCACCCCCAAGATCTCCTGCAGAGACACCCAGAGGGGTGCGGCTGTGTGCAGAGATGACATGGCTCCTTCCATGTGACCTCAGCCACATGTATATAACAGCACCTGGGGTGGGAACAGAAGAAGCAGCCTTCTTCTCACTTTCCCACTTCAGACTAAGTGGTTGGGGATGCTCACCTCATGACAGGACCACTGCTATGCATAGCTGCTACTTGTCCCATTGAGTCCC